ACACAATGGCCACCTCAGACACACACACCAACATGTCACAGAAACACAATGGCCACCTCAGACACACACACACCAACATGTCACAGAAACACAATGACCACCTCAGACACACACCAACATGTCACAGAAACACAATGGCCACCTCAGACACACACACCAACATGTCACAGAAACACAATGGCCACCTCAGACACACACACCAACATGTCACAGAAACACAATGGCCACCTCAGACACACACACCAACATGTCACAGAAACACAATGGCCACCTCAGACACACACACACCAACATGTCACAGAAACACAATGGCCACCTCAGACACACACACACAACATGTCACAGAAACACAATGGCCACACCTCACACACACACACCAACATGTCACAGAAACACAATGGCCACCTCAGACACACACGCCAACATGTCACAGAAACACAATGGCCACCTCAGACACACACACCAACATGTCACAGAAACACAATGGCCACCTCAGACACACACACAACATGTCACAGAAAACACAATGGCCACCTCAGACACACACACCAACATGTCACAGAAACACAATGGCCACCTCAGACACACACACACACAACATGTCACAGAAACACACACGCCAACGTCTCAGACACACAATGGCCACCAACATGTCACAGAAACACAATGGCCACCTCGGACACACACACCAACATGTCACAGAAACACAATGGCCACCTCAGACACACACACCAACATGTCACAGAAACACAATGGCCACCTCAGACACACACACCAACATGTCACAGAAACACAATGGCCACCTCAGACACACACACACCAACATGTCACAGAAACACAATGGCCACCTCAGACACACACACAACATGTCACAGAAACACAATGGCCACCTCAGACACACACACACAACATGTCACAGAAACACAATGGCCACCTCAGACACACACACCAACATGTCACAGAAACACAATGGCCACCTCGGACACACACACACCAACATGTCACAGAAACACAATGGCCACCTCAGACACACACACCAACATGTCACAGAAACACAATGGCCACCTCAGACACACACACACCAACATGTCACAGAAACACAATGGCCACCTCTTAGACACACACAAACATGTCACAGAAACACAATGGCCACCTTAGACACACACACCAACATGTCACAGAAACACAATGGCCACCTCAGACACACACACACCAACATGTCACAGAAACACAATGGCCACCTCAGACACACCACACAATTCACAACATGTCACAGAAACACAATGGCCACCTCAGACACACACACAACATGTCACAGAAACACAATGGCCACCTCAGACACACACACCAACATGTCACAGAAACACAATGGCCACCTCAGACACACACACCAACATGTCACAGAAACACAATGGCCACCTCAGACACACACACCAACATGTCACAGAAACACAATGGCCACCTCAGACACACACACCAACATGTCACAGAAACACAATGGCCACCTCAGACACACACACCAACATGTCACAGAAACACAATGGCCACCTCAGACACACACACCAACATGTCACAGAAACACAATGGCCACCTCAGACACACACACACCAACATGTCACAGAAACACAATGGCCACCTCAGACACACACACCAACATGTCACAGAAACACAATGGCCACCTTAGACACACACACAACATGTCACAGAAACACAATGGCCACCTCAGACACACACACAACATGTCACAGAAACACAATGGCCACCTCAGACACACACACCAACATGTCACAGAAACACAATGGCCACCTCAGACACACACACACCAACATGTCACAGAAACACAATGGCCACCTCAGACACACACACACCAACATGTCACAGAAACACAATGGCCACCTCAGACACACACACACCAACATGTCACAGAAACACAATGGCCACCTCAGACACACACACAACATGTCACAGAAACACAATGGCCACCTTAGACACACACCAACATGTCACAGAAACACAATGGCCACCTCAGACACACACACACCAAACATGTCACAGAAACACAATGGCCACCTCAGACACACACACCAACATGTCACAGAAACACAATGGCCACCTCAGACACACACACACAACATGTCACAGAAACACAATGGCCACCTCAGACACACACACCAACATGTCACAGAAACACAATGGCCACCTTAGACACACACGCCAACATGTCACAGAAACACAATGGCCACCTCAGACACACACACCAACATGTCACAGAAACACAATGGCCACCTCAGACACACACACCAACATGTCACAGAAACACAATGGCCACCTCAGACACACACACCAACATGTCACAGAAACACAATGGCCACCTCAGACACACACACACCAACATGTCACAGAAACACAATGGCCACCTCAGACACACACACACCAACATGTCACAGAAACACAATGGCCACCTTAGACACACACACAACATGTCACAGAAACACAATGGCCACCTCCATGTCAGACAATAATACACACACCAACATGTCACAGAAACACAATGGCCACCTCAGACACACACACACCAACATGTCACAGAAACACAATGGCCACCTTAGACACACACACCAACATGTCACAGAAACACAATGGCCACCTCAGACACACACACCAACATGTCACAGAAACACAATGGCCACCTCAGACACACACACCAACATGTCAACATGTCACCTCAGAAACACAATGGCACAGAAACACAATGGCCACAGACACACACACAACATGTCACAGAAACACAATGGCCACCTCAGACACACACACACCAACATGTCACAGAAACACAATGGCCACCTCAGACACACACACCAACATGTCACAGAAACACAATGGCCACCTTAGACACACACACCAACATGTCACAGAAACACAATGGCCACCTTAGACACACACACCAACATGTCACAGAAACACAATGGCCACCTTAGACACACACACCAACATGTCACAGAAACACAATGGCCACCTCAGACACACACACACCAACATGTCACAGAAACACAATGGCCACCTCAGACATGTCACAGAAACACAATGGTCACAGAAACACAATGGCCACACACACACAACATGTCACAGAAACACAATGGCCACCTTAGACACACACACCAACATGTCACAGAAACACAATGGCCACCTCAGACACACACACCAACATGTCACAGAAACACAATGGCCACCTCAGACACACACACACCAACATGTCACAGAAACACAATGGCCACCTCAGACACACACACCAACATGTCACAGAAACACAATGGCCACCTCAGACACACACACACAACATGTCACAGAAACACAATGGCCACCTCAGACACACACACACACACCAACATGTCACAGAAACACAATGGCCACCTCAGACACACACACCAACATGTCACAGAAACACAATGGCCACCTCAGACACACACACACCAACATGTCACAGAAACACAATGGCCACCTCAGACACACACACCAACATGTCACAGAAACACAATGGCCACCTCAGACACACACACCAACATGTCACAGAAACACAATGGCCACCTCAGACACACACACCAACATGTCACAGAAACACAATGGCCACCTCAGACACACACACCAACATGTCACAGAAACACAATTCATACACTGTGTTACTGCTTCAACCCGCGCCGCTTTGTTGTTTGTATATTTGTTGTTTAACGCCGCACTCAGCAATATTTCAGCAGTATGGCGGCGGTCTGTAAATAATCGAGTCTTGACCAGACAATCCAGTGATCAACAGCATGAACATCGACGCACTTGGGTTACGTTGACATGCATGGGCGGATCCAGGAATTTCGAAAGGGTGGGGTTGGGGGGTTCGAACACCCTGAACCCCCCATTGGCTCCGCCAACGCAAAAGAAATCTTCAATGTCGTCTTAAGTCATTTTCAAAAGGGGGGGTTCGAACCCCCTGAACCCCTCTGAATCCGCCAATGACATGTGATTGAGCCTGACCACCCAATCCCGCCAATTCTAACCCGCGCAACCAACACACAATGCAGTGTGACACTGACCATGCCCAATTAATGCATTTTGTCACCGATCCTGTTGAAGTAATACACGATGCACTATGTTATTGACTCAGCCCGACGAATACACAATACACATTTTTCCTGACCCTGTCCGAGTAATACACGAGACACTGTGTTATCGACTATTATGTTGATAACAAAAGCCGTTCCCGACGCCCCCGACGGATATATTGCGTACAGAAGCAGTTGACGACGGTCCCGACGGATATATTGCGTACAGAAAGAGTTCGCGACGCTCCCGATTGATATATTGCGTACAGAAGCAGCTGACGACGGTCCAGACTGATATATTGCGTACAGAAGCAGTTCGCGACGCTTCCGACGGATATATTGCGTACAGAAGCAGTTCATGACGCTCCAGACTGATATATTGCGTACAGAAGCAGCTCACGACACTGATATGCCGCAGTTCGCGACGCTTCCGACGGATATATTGCGTACAGAAGCAGTTCACGACACTGCCGACTACCTGTTGACATCAGAAACAGTTGACGACACCTTCGACTGAAACAGAGGATGGTTTTCCAACAATAATGTTAACGTTAATGCCGGTTCCATTGTTCCACGTAGTGAAAACATTTACAACAGAACGCAAGTGTCACACGTGTACGTTCGTGCTGAGAAAGAAGCATTGCAGGAAACATTGACATTAATGAACACATACTATCACAGCCACTTGACTGACGCCGTGTGTGATCGGTGTCTGCAGTTATGAATTAAAAAGACACTTATCAAATGCATATCATATTTTGTGTTACCCGAACACTATCTTTCTAACTTTGCAGACCCCAATCAGTTGATAAGGTAACTGCAGTGTTGAGAAACGACTGTAAGTAGCGTGAACCCTAATGATATGCGAGTTAGCATTAAATAGCAGCACTTAAACGGTCCTCCCTTCACGCTCTGTCTATATAAGCAACACAAGGAGAGACTGATAGAGGTGCCGGGACCGCAGCCTAGCCTGAATGTGGGTCAGTCACAACCAGCAGTCACGGAGTTGTCATTGGAATTGCTTGTGTGACTAAAGCCAAGACTACATTATGTCATGGAGAATTGTTTTGCTATCGTTGACCTCCGTACTCGGCCTTGTCGCATCTCAGCCTCGGTACTTCTTCAACAGTGAGTATTGGCTATTTCCATAACACGGCTGTTAAAGGCTGCCAAGGTAATGGCATTCTGTCGCCAGGCCTACCTCTATACCTTCGCTGTAAGCGATGACAGTTTTATGAAGAGAGGTCGCTTGTCAGGCCCTTCTGTCTGACGGGGAGTACGCCGAGCTTCTGTAAGTCAGCTACGATTTTAAGTAGTCACATACATCTTACACGTGACAAAGTAAACAATTTATTGTTGAAATATAATGCATCATAAATTAAACTCTATGTTCTGAAATCGTTTTTGTGAATGGCAACTACCATTATGATTTCATTTGATTATTTGGCATTGAACGTTCTCAACAAGTAATGGGAATACTACTTCATCTTTTACATATGTATACAACATTGGAGGAATAATTTACCCGATCTCGACTTGTTAAACATCAAGGCAATGTAAGATTCCTGGAAACTTCTATCTCTGGGGTGGAACATATCCTGAGGCGTTGCTTCAGATATGTAATCACAGTATTCGTCTTCAGAAAGGAGCAATGTTTTGTTGATTTGATGGGACAACATTTCCTTTACAAAACAACTATCCTGGCTATATATATTTGGTGACATGTATTGACACTTTTTTCTGTATTGCTACCACAATCAACAAGACATGAGAACACATTTACTGAGCTAGTATCATTGCCGGTATTCAGTTCAGCCAGTGACAAATGTCTCCGATATCTGATGCTGCATAAGCACTAATCACTGTGACAAACATGTTACTGTCTTGTATCACAATGTTATACATTCGTACCTATCCTTATGTGTTACATGTATTCAGTGAGCGAAGCCACCCAACTGATTGTCATGCACGAGACCTTTAGGGTAAATGTATTAATAAGATAAGTTTCTATTAAATCTGTTTGTGAGTGATATCCAACTGTATGGCGTATACCAGACCCGTGGTGAATTGGAATGAATCAGCAGGTTTCTTGTGACCATCGAGTTATGCCCATGGATACACGTAACTACATTCTTGAAGAAATAAATCATCTGCCACATAACACTGAATACACGTAATGCTGTTAACATGACCCTCGTCCGTGTCAGGCATTACATGTCTATATAATTACACCACAGACACAGTCTGGAAGTGCAGGCCCACACAAGAGCTGATGTCTCTTTTCAACAACCTTGACTTTGAAATGCTCACAACGGTGGCTATGCTTGTTTCATCTTGACTGACGTCACAAAGCCAACGTCAGTGCTTATGCTTGTTTGATCTCGACTGACGTCACAAAGCCAACGTCAGGGCCCATGCTTGTTTGATCTAGAATGATGTCACAAAGCCAACGTAAGGGCCCATGCTTGTTTGATCTAGACTGACGTCACAAAGCCAACGTCAGGGCCTATGCTTGTTTGATCTCGACTGACGTCACAAAGCCAACCTCAGGGCCCATGCTTGTTTGATCTACACTGATGTCACAAAGCCAGCGTCAGGGCCTATGCTTGTTTGATCTACACTGATGTCGCAAGGCCAACGTCAGGGCCTATGCTTGTTTGATCTACATTGATGTCACAAGGCCCACAACGGAGGCTAGATGTGTTTGATCTAGACTGACTTCTCAAGGCCAACGACAGGGCCTATGTTTCATCGAGATTGAGGTTGTAGAACATACAACGGTGCCTAAGGCTCATCTATCACGCCTGAAACGGGGCTCATGTTTGATCAAGGCTGACGTCAAAAGGCCCATAGTGAGGCCATCGCTATATCCAGACTGTCTTCACAAAGCAAGGTCCACAGTGAGACCATCGTTATATCCAGACTGTCTTCACAAGGCCCACAGTGAGGCTATGTGATATCTAGACTGTCTTCACAAGGCCCACAGTGAGGCTATGTTATATCCAGACTGTCCTCACAAGGCCACAGTGAGGCCATGTTATATCTAGGCTGTCTTTACAAGGCCCACAGTGAGGCTATGTTATATGTAGACTGTCTTCACAAGGCCCACAATGAGGCTATGTTATATCCAGACTGTATTTACAAGGACCACGGTGAGGCCATGTTATATCTGGACTGTATTTACAAGGACCACAGTAAGGCTATGTTTTATCTAGACTGTCTTCACAAGGCCCACAGTGAGGCTATGTTATAACCAGACTGTATTTACAAGGACCACAGTAAGGCTATGTTTTATCTAGACTGTCTTCACAAGGCCCACAGTGAGGCTATGTTATATCCAGACTGTATTTACAAGGACCACAGTGAGGCTATGTTATATCTGGACTGTATTTACAAGGCCCACAGTGAGGCTGTGTTATATCTGGACTGTATTTACAAGGCCCACAGTGAGGCTATGTTATATCTGGACTGTATTTACAAGGCCCACAGTGAGGCTGTGTTATATCCAGACTGTCCTCACAAGGCCCACAGTGAGGCTATGTTATATCTGGACTGTATTTAAAAGGCCCACAGTGAGGCTGTGTTATATCTGGACTGTATTTACAAGGCCCACAGTGAGGCTATGTTATATCTGGACTGTATTCACAAGGCCCACAGTGAGGCTGTGTTATATCCAGACTGTCTTTACAAGGCCCACAGTGAGGCTATGTTATATCCAGACTGTCCTCACAAGGCCCACAGTGAGGCTGTGTTATATCCAGACTTTCTCTACAAGGCCCACAGTGAGGCTATGTTATATCTGGACTGTTGTCATCCAAATAAAAAATCCAACAACCAGCCACAAAGCAAACTGTTGCCATCATCAAATTAAATTAAACCAAAAAGCTATTTCACACGCACTGAATTAAATTGGATCATAATCGATACACGAAAATAACCTATACCCTCTCGCCATCAACAATGTTGTCTGCGGCAAACGTTCTCTAGTGACACTTTACTCATTTTTGTAGTCAACCTAAGCTGATAAGGCTAAAGTCAGTTAGAGGAACTGTGTCCTTGTTTAAATCCTGTATTCACGGTGCCGAGGTACGATGTGAGTGTGGACTGGGGACCAGTGTGTCGGTGACCTACCTGCAGGTGCTGCAGGTGGTTTGTGTCACCTACTGAGTGGCCGGACTACTGTAGGACACCAACAAACAGTTCCAGGTGGTGGTCGCCGTTGTTTAAACCCCAGAAATATCAACACCACAGAAAACATGTTACACCTCATCTCACCCTAAACTCCTGCCAAGCCAATCTGAAAGGCTGGCACATCTCTGCCTGAAAGGCTGGCAAATCTCTGCTGCATTTGTTTCATGTTCACGATGCACTTGAAAATTGTAGAGAAGGTTTACAAGCAATGATTTCCGAAATGTAAAGTAATGGAGCGATTGTTGAACTGTCCTTTATAATCAACCACGTAACACTACAGTCTCTTTTACTCATTGCTAAGTTAGCTCTTTGACAAGGTATTCAAGCTGCCATTGATACGGATTGATAACAGGTCGTTATTGCACTGTTTTCTTTGTAGACATATTGTATATTACATAACCAAGCAAAACTAAATGATGACACAAAGCAGTGTATCAAATAATGTATACATCTTTCATGCATACTCTTGCACTGAAATGTTAGTCTGACAATGCTAGTTTATGTTTAACGAAGACTGTTTTATTGACGATCCTCCCCTTGACCCTGGGAATAAACGGCAGTGTGTGCTGCTTTAGGCAACAAAAAATGCCTATAACATCTGGATGGAATTGTTCGACGACAGGACAGGAAAACATTATGGTTGAATCAACAAACACAGGTTATCAAACAATACTACTTGATTTGAACATAATTTTATTAACATTAATTCGTTTTTGTTTATGTTAAGAAGAGTTTTGAGGAAGGTCGTACGATGCAATATTCGAGAATAAAACACGTGTATATTTTGTTCACAAGTGCACAGGTCAGCGCATTATGTTTTCGTCTCAGGGTTGGCTTAATGACATCAACCTTAATTTGGCCAATTGTATTATGTGCATTAAATGTCAAATATTGCATTAAGCTCTCTCACTAGACAAGGGCTAATGTACTTGTGCATATCATTGGATACTTAAGAATGAAACAAAGAAGTGCCGTGGTTATTTAATAACACCGCTATCAAATTTCAAAATGCAAAATCAGTGCAAATAGTGACAAAGGGACATCTGTTGGATCGAAGGCGATGCAAATTTTTTTTCATCTGGTCTTTGCAATGTGTAGCCTGTTATATAATGCTAAACTGCCCCCTCCATGTCGGGATAGGGATATTTTACGCTGTCTGTTCTTATTACTATCATTGTTTATCTTGATGACGTAATCCGTGTCAGATGTACTTGGGCACAGTTCTAAGCCTTGGTCCAGAGACCAACGTTAAGCAAGTCTTGCCATTAACCAAACCAGGGCCCCGTTTCACAAAGCTATCGTAGCGCTACGACTATCGTAAGTCAGTGTTACCGTATAGGAGGTAGGAATGCTGAGAGGAAAGGTACGAGATCTTAGGCTTACGAGTGCTTTGTGAAACGGGGCAAGTGCCAGGTGCTCTAGGGTATCACCACTACGACCACTGTTCTGACCTGGTACATGGTGATTTTTGCCTGTATCAAGCTGCATAAAGCAAACTATCATATACCGCAGGCTATCGCCTCCACAGTTCCATCCACTTCTTTTTACCAGACACCAACTCTTACACATAGGACTATACAATTAATCACAATCAATGTAACCCGGGCCTGCAAGCCGTACTGCCAACATGGCGTTCAGTAGTGCCACCTTGACCTGGGACGATCATATGTCGTACTCGTTTGATGTACGTGTCCTCAGGTTGTGAATTGTCCGTCTATAGCAGCTCATGGCCCGGGCAACAGCCACAACAGACTGACCAGCCTGGAGCATGCCAATTGCACGTTATGTTCACCATTTGTAAGACGTAGCATAAGAATTGGTAATTTCTCAAGGTGTTTTTCCTTATAACCAGCACTATCTGCACACGTCGTGGTGGTTCGACACATAAAATTGTGGTCCCGTGACCCCGCACACATGCAGGGTGCGTTTTCATAAAAGAGCGTGCTGCATACACCCCGCGTGGTTTACCACAGTTGGAATGGCCGGATGCTTCAGGTTAGTCCTGGCCATTATGGTATTCGCCAATATTAACGACCTTGAACTATCCATGCTCGATATACTTCATTTCTCCAAGTGTAAAGTTTCTTTTTTTTGTTTAGTATATATGGAAGTCAATTTCACAAAGATATATGTTGGACATAGTTAAAGACGTCTTTAATGTGTAAAATATGTTCAGCGAATTGTTCTGAAATACCAAAGCAATTACCCTCAATAATGAGGGATCAGATATTGTTGACCTACCAAGCTCAATTTCTAACACTAATGGTTATCATCTGAATAACATGGAGATTATGTCAATCCGTGCAATAACCAGGGTGATATGTTACTGTTACTGTTCCCGGACTGTCGAAGATGGATCCAAAACAAACATCAACATACTGGGGTTATCCTGGACGTATATTAAATATAGTCATGGTTTCCATGAGCAACTAACATCAGCCAGTGATGCAGCCCAGTGGTGAGACTACTAGCTCCACACTAGTTGGGTGGGTAGGTGGGTGGGTGTGTCATCGACAAATATACTCTTAACTGCTCCCCGTACCTCGCCCTTTAGCTATAAATTATGAACGGTCCCTTATTGGTCAGTTTTGTTTTTTTGTAGTCAGCTATTGAGCTGGGATTTACGTCGCCTTAAGGAGGATATCAACAATATTACGTCGAGGATTATGCTAAAGGTTAGCTCCATTAATAACATTTGGGGAATCAAACCCGGCCTTCTGCGGACAGTGAGCCGCTACTATGGGTTTTTGCTATTGTATGGCGTCATTAGAAACACAGTTTAAACTCCCTATATGTTTTGTGCACAAAAACGTCGTACGCGGAGTACGCGCCCACCAGTAACACATGTTGTTTGGTTGTAGGAGGGATGACGAAGATGGCTGAGCAGCATGTGGTGGAGCTGCTTGTCGTAGTGGACTACTCCGCATACTTGAAGTAAGCCATGGCATTTGTATTGACTTGTCTTTGTCGGTGTCCATTTTGAGTGAGGCGGTTACCACTAGTGATAGTACAGCTAGATTAGGCACGATTCCAAACTATCGTAACGAAGGCAATATTGTCACTTTGAATAATTGGCACCAGATTTCAGTGGAATTATATGGTAATGCGTCTTATGTATTGTATTGACATTCTCGATAGGCAGTAAACTGATTGCATATAATGCATCAGTGATTGAGATGTACATACCTAAACTGGTCAATATGAATTTCTTCTTGTTTTTTTCAATAGGTGGTACCACAAAATGAGCGGGGACACAGCGTTCTTGAAAAAGAAGAACGCATTAAATGCAATATGGAAACACTACTCATCTGTTATTCATGGCGTAAGTATTCTGAGCAGTGACACTAAATATTGACCAGATTATAATGGTACACGTAGAAAGACAATTATATAATTATGCAATTTTTCTGATTAAGTTAATGCAGCTTACAGTGAAAACAGAGAATGCTGCGTAGACAATGATGATTTCTATTCCTGAAGTCTGCATAACGCCATTTTGTACTGTAGGGAAAAGGTAGCGATGCTTAATAATTTATATAGTTAACAAATGAAAAAAGACCAAACTGTGAAATTAAATGATGCATCTTTACACATCCATAAGGCATCTACTCGACTACAGTTAGTGATCTGCACGTGCATCATACTACATGCAGTTCTAAATGGATGTTATTTGTTAACGTGAACATTCATGATACCACTGTGAAAACGAAGTCATTCGATTTCATGGTCTATACTCTTCGCAAACGCAGAGAAGTAACGCCTCTTTGCAGCAGGATAATGTCTGCCCTCATAGTATATCTCTCCCCCATGAACCGTCTCTGGGATTGGACGGATCGACGCCTACCACAGGAACTTGCTCGCCCCGTTGGATAATGTTTGGTTCGCTTTTGGAGCAGCATTCCCCAAGCTGCTTGCTGATAATTTGTGAAAAAAATCTCGCTTTCGTGACGGCTCGTGTCGATATACAGTATATTTGATATGAAAAAGAATCAACAACACCCATGAGATGTCTCCGTTTCATATGTGGGAATGTTGATGGTTTCTGGTTTATTATCGTGGATCCTTCCTATTATCAGATAGATACAATATACAGAGGTCTTGGAGATACTGGTCTGAAGATCTCCGTGCAACCTGTTGACATCCAAGTTGTATCGGTAAGTAAACCCAACATGAATCGTCTATCACATTATATTTAGTTTCAGTAAGATGTTATGTAACAATTTATTATACAATAATTATGCAGTTAACTGACAACGGTATCAGTAAATAATTCATTTATATACCAAGCCATGCCTAATCTATACCTATATCTCACCTAACTCTGGTAGGTGAACAAGTGCTTTAACATGTAGACTCGCTGTCGTGCGTGTCACTGTGAGAGTGTTAACCCCTTCCTCGTTAAAACGGAAATATACATGTCAATCAGACTTTGACACTGTTGGCCACGACGTCTTGCAAACATAAATCGATAATCATATATATGTTCCTGGAACATGTGTTTTGTGAAGTTAATTATTAAATGTATGGGGATTATAACATATTCTTTACTGTCGCTTGAATATACTTTCATAGAAGATCATATTATATGATGACATGTTGCTAGATGAAACGTACCTAATTGTCTCTGTAGGTACCGCAGTAATATTGAATACATGGAACACACACACACACACACACACACACACACACACACACACACACACACACACACACACACACACACACACACACACACACACACACACACACACATACATACATACATACATACATACATAAATTAGGATTTCATGGTGTTACGTGATTCTTGAAGTTATTGAAATATGGAGACATTACCCTATACAAGCTATGTATTCATGTATTAAGCGGTGCATCCATATTACGTGCGTTGATTTACATAACCAAGGGGCTTAAAGAAAGAATGGTTCTTTCTAGAAATTGATATGGTCTCTGCCTCTAAATATCTCCGCCTCAAATAATTTGTTAGAATTATCTTTTTATTTGTTGCGTAATTGCAACCTTTTTGTTCCACCAGACCGATGGTATTGTGACGAGTACAAATAAATTCATTGCATCGGAGACAGCTCTGCGGGCCTTCTACTACTGGACACAGTCCGGCAACAAGTTGCCGCCATTTGACCACGCGATGCTGATTACAGGGTAAGATTTACCAGGAACACATCCTGTAAAGCTGGTGCCAATACTGCTTCCTTTCAGGTAATATAATCTTTTTGTAAATAGTATTTCAATAGAGGAATTGTTTTAGACATGGGTTTAACTTTCCAAATAGCTATGTGGTTGTACATGTAACGTGACGGAGCATTTGGAATGGTTAAGCAAACTGTGACCAGAGGGGAGGATGTGGAATATTCTGTTTTATTTAGATGAGGAGATTATTGTGATGAGTCTCTCTCCCATGTGTTCAGTGTAGGGTTGGCGGAGAAACAGCTACAACCTGTCATATGTTCGGAATGCAGGGTGCCGCCGCGTGGCGTTATTTCTGAATAACGTGCTATTGAACTGGTTAAACATGTTTGGCCCAGGTTAGCGCCCTCGGATCACAGAGAATGTTGTATTTTCACTTTTGTTGTGTGACACCATGTCAGCGTAGCATAATGTTGCACTGGAAAACCAGCTTTTATTTGTCAAAAGGAGGCAACATATTACTTGTCTTTTCTCATGTTAACGCATGTCATCTCTAAGATTTCTTTCGATGTTTTAATGCTTTAATGTTGGAATGATAGGGACCATGATGACATATTTTTGGAAATATAAATGATATTCTTGTTAACTTAAACCTTGTACATACTTCAGTCTGTCGACTTTAATCAACAGAATATGATGTTTACTTATTGCAAACTAGCTAACGTGTTGAGGCGTTTAAAAACTTTTATTACTAGTAACCTGTTCTATTTAGATGGAAAAAGTCAATGAAAAAAATACACGATTCGTATGAAGTTTTCGGACACCTGCGTTGTTATCGGAACCATGTTGCGTTTTAGAGAATGTTTTCTGCTTGGATTCAAACCTGCACCAGCGGTTTTTGTTGTTGTTGTTTTTATACATCTACTTGAAACGTGATAACTTTCTTTTCCCCGCTTGTTTGTAACCTATTTTATTTCAATAGAAAATTCATTGTCAATTACCCTTTGACGCCTTCTTTCCGCTGATGGTTACCTGCCTGAGGGTCTGTGGTTGATGGATCTGATCAGCAGGTAGTAGTGTCCCTCCACTATGCTCATTATGTACATGGATATCTTTGTTTGAACAGTTATGACCTGATGGAGAACGGCGATAAATCAAAGTCAGGTAAGATTCCTTCATTCTGTTGTCGTTGCCTGAAGGTTTAGCTTTGATGAGGCTTCCAGTAAATGGTATGGCGTCGACACGTTCTTCTGAGGGCGGCTATAAAGTTTGATTACTTGTAAGCTGTTGACATTTATACGTGATGCAAAACTAATAAATACGTCATCTTGTGAGTTAGGTATCTGAATAAGCAATATTATTGTCATGACGTTTCCGTACTGCCTGTAGGTCGAGCCTATCTGGGGACGATGTGCACGACCAGGAGCGTCTCAGTGGTGGAAAATGACTTCAGCTTTGAGATAGTACAGATAACGGCACATGAACTCGGACATAGGTACCTTGCTTAATGGAACAACATAAAGATGTGGCAGTAACATATAACTGTACTAAGTCTTTGTATTGTAGAGTGAGTGAGGTACCTTGCTTAATGGAACAACATAGAGATGTGGCAGTAACATATAACTGAACTAGGTATTTGTATTGTAGAGTGAGTGAGGTACCTTGCTTAATGGAACAACATAGAGATGTGACAGGAACATATAGCTGTACTAAGTCTTTGTATTGTAGAGTGAGTGAGGTACCTTGCTTATTTGAACAACATAGAGATGTGGCAGTAACATATAACTGTACTAAGTCTTTGTATTGTAGAGTGAGTGAGGTACCTTGCTTAATGGAACAACATAGAGATGTGGCAGTAACATATAACTGTACTAGGTATTTGTATTGTAGAGTGAGTGAGGTACCTTGCTTAATGGAACAACATAGAGATGTGACAGGAACATATAGCTGTACTAAGTCTTTGTATTGTAGAGTGAGTGAGGTACCTTGCTTATTTGAACAACATAGAGATGTGACAGTAACATATAGCTGTACTAAGTCTTTGTATTGCAGAGTGAGTGAGGTACCTTGCTTTATGGAACAACATAGAGATGTGACAGTAACATATAACTGTACTACAATGTAACAACATAGAGATGTGACAGTAACATATAACTGTACTAGGTATTTGTATTGTAGAGTGAGTGAGGTACCTTGCTTAATGGAACAACATAGAGATGTGACAGTAACATATAACTGTACTAGGTATTTGTATTGTAGAGTGAGTGAGGTACCTTGCTTACTTGAACAACATAGAGATGTGACAGTATAATATAGCTGTACTAAGTCTTTGTATTGTAGAGTGAGTGAGTGAGTGAGTGAGTTTAGTTTTACGTCGCACTCAGCAATATGTCAGCTATATGGCGGCGGTCTGTAAATAACCGAGTCTGGACCAGACAATCCAGCATTCAACAGCATGAGCATCGATCTGCGCAATTGGGAACCGATGACATGTGTCAACCAAGCCAGCGAGCCTGACCACCCGATTCCGTTAGTCGCCTCTTACGACAAGCATGGGTTACTGAAGGTTCATTCTAACCCGGACCTTCATGGGTTGTATTGTAGAACAAAAGGGTCTTATTTCAAAACACAGAGGCGGGGTTTTCTCTTGTTATACAAATTAACTGAAGGTACACAGAAGTACACATGATAGTGGTTGCTGGGAAACAAGGTAACTGAAGGTACACAGAAGTACACATGATAGTGGTTGCTGGGAAACAAAGTAACTGAAGGTACACAGAAGTACACATGATAGTGGTTGCTGGGAAACAAAGTAACTGAAGGTACACAGAAGTACACATGATAGTGGTTGCTGGGAAACAAGGTAACTGAAGGTACACAGAAGTACACATGATAGTGGTTGCTGGGATACAAAGTAACTGAAGGTACACAGAAGTACACATGATAGTGGTTGCTGGGAAACAAGGTAACTGAAGGTACACAGAAGTACACATGATAGTGGTTGCTGGGAAACAAAGGTAACTGAAGGTACACAGAAGTACACATGATAGTGGTTGCTGGGAAACAAGGTAACTGAAGGTACACAGAAGTACACATGATAGTGGTTGCTGGGAAACAAAGTAACTGAAGGTACACAGAAGGTACACACATGATAGTGGTTGCTTGCTGAAGGTACACAGAAACAATAGTGGTAACTGAAGGTACACAGAAGTACACATGATAGTGGTTGCTGGGAAACAAAGTAACTGAAGGTACACAGAAGTACACATGATAGTGGTTGCTGGGAGTGGAAGGTGCTGATAGTGGTTGCTGGGACAAGGTAACTGAAGGTACACAGAAGTACACATGATAGTGGTTGCTGGGAAACAAAGTAACTGAAGGTACACAGAAGTACACATGATAGTGGTTGCTGGGAAACAAAGTAACTGAAGGTACACAGAAGTACACATGATAGTGGTTGCTGGGAAACAAAGTAACTGAAGGTACACAGAAGTACACATGATAGTGGTTGCTGGGAAACAAGGTAACTGAAGGTGGTTGCAAACAAGGTAACTGAAGGTACACAGAAGTACACATGATAGTGGTTGCTGGGAAACAAGGTAACTGAAGGTACACAGAAGTACACATGATAGTGGTTGCTGGGAAACAAAGTAACTGAAGGTACACAGAAGTACACATGATAGTGGTTGCTGGGAAACAAAGTAACTGAAGGTACACAGAAGTACACATGATAGTGGTTGCTGGGAAACAAAGTAACTGAAGGTACACAGAAGTACACATGATAGTGGTTGCTGGGAAACAAAGTAACTGAAGGTACACAGAAGTACACATGATAGTGGTTGCTGGGATACAAAGTAACTGAAGGTACACAGAAGTACACATGATAGTGGTTGCTGGGAAACAAGGTAACTGAAGGTACACAGAAGTACACATGATAGTGGTTGCTGGGAAACAAAGTAACTGAAGGTACACAGAAGTACACATGATAGTGGTTGCTGGGAAACAAGGTAACTGAAGGTACACAGAAGTACACATGATAGTGGTTGCTGGGAAACAAGGTAACTGAAGGTACACAGAAGTACACATGATAGTGGTTGCTGGGAAACAAGGTAACTGAAGGTGCTGGGAAAGTACACATGATAGTGGTTGCTGGGAAACAAAGAACTGAAGGTACACAGAAGTACACACATGAAGTGGTTGCTGGGAAACAAGATAACTGAAGTACACATTGCTGGGATGATAGTGGTTGCTGGGAAAGGTAACTGTAACTGAAGGTACACAGAAGTACACATGATAGTGGTTGCTGGGAAACAAAGTAACTGAAGGTACACAGAAGTACACATGATAGTGGTTGCTGGGAAACAAAGGTAACTGAAGGTACACAGAAGTACACATGATAGTGGTTGCTGGGAAACAAAGTAACTGAAGGTACACAGAAGTACACATGATAGTGGTTGCTGGGAAACAAAGTAACTGAAGGTACACACACAGAAGTACACATGATAGTGGTTGCTGGGAAACAAAGTAACTGAAGGTACACAGAAGTACACATGATAGTGGTTGCTGGGAAACAAGGTAACTGAAGGTACACAGAAGTACACATGATAGTGGTTGCTGGGAAACAAACAGTAACTGAAGGTACACAGAAGTACACATGATAGTGGTTGCTGGGAAACAAGGTAACTGAAGGTACACAGAAGTACACATGATAGTGGTTGCTGGGAAACAAGGTAACTGAAGGTACACAGAAGTACACATGATAGTGGTTGCTGGGAAACAAGGTAACTGAAGGTACACAGAAGTACACATGATAGTGGTTGCTGGGAAACAAGGTAACTGAAGGTACACAGAAGTACACATGATAGTGGTTGCTGGGAAACAAAGTAACTGAAGGTACACAGAAGTACACATGATAGTGGTTGCTGGGAAACAAGGTAACTGAAGGTACACAGAAGTACACATGATAGTGGTTGCTGGGAAACAAATGAAGGTAACTGAAGGTAAACAGAGTAACTGAAGGTACACAGAAGTACACATGATAGTGGTTGCTGGGAAACAAAGTAACTGAAGGTACACAGAAGTACACATGATAGTGGTTGCTGGGATACAAATTACTGCAATGTTGGAGACAATGTAGTTTGTTTGATTAAGCTAAACATCAAAATAAACATTGCACGATAATAGGACTTTCAAATTTACGAAGGTATTGACTGTCAGTTTATCAAAGTGGCTCAGCTTGAGAGTGTGTTTGACGTACACAACACTAATAGTTAAATATGGTGCAAAGTAATCTCAAAGAGTTTGAATTTAGTGTTTCTGCATCTGCCTGCTCATGTGTGAGATGTATCAGAAACCTGTCTGAAGGTGTGCGTTGTGTCAGATATACATACCAGACTGTCTGAAGGTATGTAATATGTCAGATATACATACCAGACTGTCTGAAGGTATGTAATGTGTCAGATATACATACCAGACTGTCTGAAGGTATGCAATGTGTCAGATATACATAACAGAGTGTCTGAAGGTAAGTTATGTGTCAGATATACATACCAGACTGTCTGAAGGTATGTAATGTGTCATATATACATACCAGACTGACTGAAGGTATGTAATGTATCATATATACATACCAGACTGACTTGAAGGTATGTTATGTGTCAGATATACATACCAGACTGTCTGAAGGTATGTAATGTGTCAGATATACATACCAGACTGTCTGAAGGTATGTAATTTGTCAGATATACATACCAGACTGTCTGAAGGTATGTAATGTTCATGTATACATACCAGACTGTCTGAAGGTATGTAATGTGTCAGGTATACATACCAGACTGTCTGAAGGTATGTAATGTGTCAGATATACATACGAGACCGTCTGAAGGTATGTAATTTGTCAGATATACATACCAGACTGTCTGAAGGTATTTTATGTGTCAGACTGTCTGAAGGTATGTAATGTGTCAGATATACATACCAGACTGTCTGAAGGTATATGTACAGACTGTCTGAAGGTATGTAATGTGTCAGATATACATACCAGACTGTCTGAAGGTATGTAATGTGTCAGATATACATACCAGACTGTCTGAAGGTATGTAATGTGTCAGATATACATACCAGACTGTCTGAAGGTATGTAATTTGTCAGATATACATACCAGACTGTCTGAAGGTATACCAGACCGTCTGAAGGATATACATACCAGACTGTCTGAAGGTATATAATGTGTCAGGTATACATACCAGACTGTCTGAAGGTATGTAATGTGTCAGATATACATACCAGACTGTCTGAAGGTATGTAATTTGTCAGGTATACATACCAGACTGTCTGAAGGTATGTTATGTGTCAGATATACATACCAGACTGTCTGAAGGTATGTAATGTGTCAGATATACATACCAGACTGTCTGAAGGTATGTTATGTGTCAGATATACATACCAGACTGTCTGAAGGTATGTAATGTGTCAGATATACATACCAGACTGTCT